CGCCGGGGATGAATCTGACGACGAGCAGGCAGTCGAGTCGATGTCAAGGTCCTCCCTCTGTTGGTGCCGGGTCCGAGAGTCCGGGGTCCGCCCAAGCCACTCCCGGCCAGCTGTACAGTTCCATCCCGCGCCTATAAAGTCTCCTCCCCGTCTCCTCCGAGTCTTCAACGCAAATTCACAGGTCAGTGTCTGCGCTCTGTAACACGTCGTTCCCTGCTGACATCCTCTGCAGCCTCAAAAAGCATCTCGACGATGACTCGCCCGCCCTCCGGGGACTGGTGTGGGTCGAGGACCTTGGGACCGTCAAGTAGGCTGGAGAGCAAGAAGACCTTCGGGTTCTGAATGATGGGACTTGGGTGCGGCGCTCTCGGAGGTGACTCTGCGGCGGACCCTTCGTGGCCGTCGTGTGGGCAGTGTCGCAATGTCTCGTTGTACATTTTCTGTTTTGTTTTCGGGAATAGACACGTTGTGTATCATGCGTACTGATCCGGACCGGATTTGGAGAAGTCGAGTGGTGTGTGATCTCAATCGCGAGCTTGTTTCTGTTCCAAGTCCTGCTTTCCTCTGCATGGCTGCTCGTCGTCTTGCAATATCTTCTCTTCTCTGCGACGATGACCCCCACCCAAAGCCTCTTGACCCCGTCGTTCCCGACGTCCCCGACCCCGTCATTCTTGCCCCCCATCTCCTCCGCCCCGTCCGCGACGCCCACATGCACCATGACTTTCCTCCGCTCTCCCTGCAGAGTACGTCTTGGCCCCAGGGCGCGTCGTCATCCCATTCACCTGAAAGGCGGCATTCACCGTTGCCGACGCGTCTCTCAGACCCCGTTCAGTCTCCATACCGCCCCTTTCGTTCCCCGTCGCCTTCTGCCCTCTCTCCCTCCGCCCACCACATATCGCCGACCCACTCTACCCTCGCGTTCTCTCCCCATTCAATGTCCAATTCCTCTCCGCCTCTGTCGCGATCGCGGGCACAGTCCTCGTCGTCCTTTCCCAGCACTCTCCTCAATCCCGTCTCTCCGTCACTACAATCTCCCCTAGGCGGTCTCGAGGCCCTCGTCCAAGCGGCTACCGAGGAACGCAGGCGACTCAGCGGAGGCGCGGTCTCTCCTAGACGGACGCAGCCTTTTCAGACAAGTCCGAGCCATAGTCCCGACGCTACTCATAGGGCCTTCGACCTGGTGCCAGCTCACCAACTCTCCCCCTCACGTTCATACCTTTCACCGATCGTCCCTCACATTGCAAACCATGTCCCAGATGCACGCAATTTGGCTTCTTCTATGTCCCCTGTGCAGAGTCGCGCCGACGTCGAAGAGCGGCCTCTCAAGCGCAAACGTAGCTCGACATCTCGTTCGACTACAGAACGAGACGATGCTACCTCAAGTCACCTCTCTCCGCAGACAGGCAACGCGTCCGATCGACCGTCAATTCTTCCCTCTAATTTACAGGCACTGATGTCGCCGGAGCCGGTACAGCGAGGGGTGGTGGATGATCAAGCAGGTTGGGGGGCACGCAGGTCTTCTGGGAGTTGGCCCGAGTCTGAGGTCCGGAGAAGTCCCAGTGCTGCTTCACAGCGGCACTCGCCAGATATATCCAAGGTCGAAGCATCGAAGCTCTCGCCGGTCCTTCATCGTGTGCAAATTACGGGCGGTCTTACTTCTTCCTCGGACGCTCAGCCGCTGAATCCAGTAGAGTCTGCAAAGCCTCCCGACGCATGGTCGCCCGAGCATCGCGTCGCCGCTGTCCCTGCGTCGCCCGAGGCACATGATCCGCCGCGCTCGCCTCCTAAAGTTGCCCTCGAGGTAGCGCATGTTCGAGAATCAATACCACTCACTGGTTCCCCTTCGGCCTCAGCGGCCGCACTGCAGCAGCCCGCGTTGTCTACTACAATTGAGCGAGAACTCGAGGAAGTGGCTGGTATCGGTACCGACAGGGTTATGGACATGGACGTGGACTCCGCCATCGCGGAAGAGCTCGATACTTTTCCTTCATCCAAATCTACGGCAACACCTCGACAGCCCAGCGTCTCCGTCATCACGCAAGATGTAGAAGAGGAATTACTCAGTCTTGTAGGTGATCGTCCCTCCCCGCGACCGCAACCCTCTCGTCAAAGCCACAAGTCATCGTCTGCAAAGGGCAAATCGTCTGGCAACGCATCCGCATCAACGTCGAACTCAGTGCGTCATTCAGTGCCACAGGCCAACCCAACCCCCTCGCTATCCTTTCCGCCGGCGACCGCTCATCCCTCGCTCCCTTCGCGGAGCGTGTCTGCCGCTCCCGTCAAGCCTGAGCGAGAGTCTATGCCTCCGCCGTCGTTCACGCCTGCGGCCCGTACTGCCGATACCGAGGGGGACAATAAGGGTATTTTGAAAGCTGAGGAACAGCCGCCGGGGCCGTCGAAGAAGAAGGTCAGTGTCGATATCGGTTGCAATGTATGAAGATCCGCGGTTGACATTTGCTGGTATGTAGTCAGGCTCCAAGGCGAGGCAGACGCAACCGAAGCAGCCGGCGCAGCCAAAAGCTCGCGCTAAGTCAAGCGGGACCAGCAAGTCCAAGTCGAAAGCTGCCAAGGATGGACTCGCTCCGTCGACAGCCCGCGGAAAGAAGGCATCGCCGCATCCTACGGGCGGGTCAGCAGCTGCCAAGAAGTCTGCCTCTGCGGCGCGTTCCCGGTCTACGTCGGTCATGCCAGTCACTGGTTCTGCTGGACCGGACGCTGAGCCGGAGAAGGAAAAGGAGAAGGAGGCGTTGCAGAAGGAAGAGGACGAAGAGGAGGACGCCGAAGATAAATTATACTGCATATGTAAGACCAGTTATGACGATGAGAAAGTCATGATTGCATGCGATCGGTGCGTCGTTTCTTCGACTTATATGACGTTGTTGCTGACGTGGTGATAATAGCTGCGACGAATGGTATCACACGAGTTGTGTTAAGATGCCGGACTTGGAGGTGGACTTGGTAGACCAGTTTATCTGTCCACCCTGCGTCGACAGTGCGTGAAATGTTAGATCCTGTATGGCGGTGTAACTCACATTATTTCTGCGGCAGAGCATCCCGAACTCTCTCTTCGCACGACGTGGAAACGACGCTGTCTTTACGGCCTAGAACACAAGAACCCACAGTCCGCTGACTCCTGTCACAAACCTGCCCGCGGCGCCTTCTCGAAATACTGCTCAGACGAATGCGGCGTCAAGTACATGCGTCTGCGCATCGAGCTGTGGGCGGATAAAGGCGGAGACAAGAACAAGCTCTGGGAGAGCGTGAAGGGTGCGCAGAAACGAGAGGGAACCGTCGTGTCGGCAAAGCTTGCCCAGGAGGCTCGTGCCGATGCGCCGTCTGACAAGTACACTATTCCAGGCCTGGTCAAGCCGGAGAAAACGAGGAAAGACCGTGAGCTAGAAGGACTACATGCGAAGCTGGACGAGGTGGTGAAGAAGCGTGATGCGGAGAAGGAAGAGATGGACCTCGTCTTGTGGCGAGAGAAGGTCACAGGGCTAGCTATTCGTCGTTCGGACAGTATCGAGGAGTGTGGGTGGGACCAGAGGCTTTGCTTCGGGGATGAAGAGGTGGCGGAGTTTGGGACAAGTGTGCTGGAGAGCTACGAGAGCGGGCAGAGTGATGGTGATGCGATGCAGGTGGATGCTGAAGGAGAGTGGTGGTGTCAAGGGAAGAAGAAGTGCGACAGACATGTTGGGTGCGTCTTCCCTGTTCTTGGTCTTGATTGTCGCTCAAGACGTTGTCTCCAGGTGGCAAAAGCTGCGCCTCGCGGAGGTGCAGTTCGAGAAGGAGATGAAAGAGCAGGCTCTGCTCAAACTCACAACGCGCGAGCGAAAGATACGCACACGAATCGAAGACATCCTGGACCCTCATGCTCGTGTTTCTGCGACATGCAACTCCGTACACACGACGCCACAGAAGGCGACTACATTACCCTCTACCAATGGACAACCCAAGCCTAAGGCTCCCGTTCACGCAGATTCAAGTAAGAAAGGGAAGAAGAAGAGATAATCCTGGTGACGATGTGTGTATTTTTATGTATAGTATTGTAGCTTGTACTTTTGAGGAGCGCACCTCGGTGGGCACTAATCTCATTCACCACGCTGTCGGTTGAATTCGCGGACTGCAGTACACCTGCGTTGCCTCGCCGCGATGTGCATGCCCATCTGGATGTATCAAGAGCAACTATTGTAAATGCGTACAGCTTGCTAGGATAAGTAGTGAAGATTAATAGCCGTCTCCCTCGCCGCCCTCCTTACAAAAGCCCTTCTGTTCGTATAACACTTGTGCTTTCACCTCGTCCCTCTGCTTCTTGTCGATAACTTCCTGGCGATGATGGTTGTCCAGTGAGTTGTAGTCTACCTGTCGTAGTGGGACGTCATCCTCCTGATCCAAATCCTATCGGGAATGTCAGTTTAGATCAGACCAACGCAAGTAGAAGAACGCTTACGATTTCTCCGAGCAATACGACGTTCTCTCCTCGGATGAGAAACAGTCCACACCACTTTTCCGCGAAGGCATTTCCAGAATATATTCGTTCGACCGTGTCCTCGAGGACAAGATTTGCTGCCCTAGCATGAGTCGCAAACCAACACTCCAGCGTCCAAGCGAGACTCACCAAACTGGTCATACGAGCGCAGCACACCGTGGAGCTTCCTGCCATCCCGCAGCACTACAAGCATCTTCCCTGATCACGCGCAGGGAGATGGGTCGTGCAGACAGAGGGTGATCACAGCGTTCTCAGCCTTCGTGTTCGTACGCTTGTGCAACAGGGTCGGGCAGACGTACTGTCCACGCAATCCACCAGTGACCCAGACGTTGTGAATGGTATGAGGGAATCCATTGCGATGTTGTCGGCGCCCGGGGGCGGGCAGGCTATTAGAGGGTAGGATTCAGTGCAGATGGATGCAGAGGCGAGACGCCGCGCCTGTCGCGACGCAGCGATCTTCGAAGACTCTTCGGTGACATATTGGCAAGTTACGCTTATCCACCCCTTTACACAAGCTGATATGGCCGAGTCGTTAAGGCGAGTGATTTGAATTACCAAATTCAAACATCACTTGGGCATTGCCCGCGTAGGTTCAAATCCTGCTGTCAGCGAATTTTTGGCTTTTTCAACTTCCTCACAGACCGATGGAATAGATCTTTGCAGTCGTAAGTGCGTGATGGAGCCGTCGTATAATAACAATTGCTTTCACTTGGAGAACGATGTAGAGTACTAATCCCCTGCATAAATACGAGAGGAAATAGATTGCGGGCTCAACGGGTGGGCCTTGACCGCTGCTTGGTTGCATATGGACATCTGTAAACCACGCAGAGCTCAAGACCATTGCATTGTGTTGACCCGTATATTGAGTCAGTTTACCGTAATCAAGAATTTTGGAGGAAAGTATCAATATCCCCGGCCCCCCGTGCGTGTATACACGCTCGTGTACGCTTGCACCCTGCCTGGCTCATGCTTGTTGCTCGTATACACTGCTCGCGACCAGTGACAATGTCGTGAGAAGACAGTCACCATGGGTGAGGGACCATGCTATTATACAGCGCAGGGTGTGCAGGACAAACACTGATCGCCTTGGGTGGTAGACCGCCCTGACGCGCCAGGACGTAGGCTGCGTTCTTAGAAAGAGTTGCCACACCGCTGACTTCGATGTAGACGTCAGGATTTGATTCCCTATAAGATGAAGCAAGAAGGACTCGGCGTTTGGTCGAACGAGATCACGCTGTCGCGTAGTGAACAAAGTATGGCCTTGTGGTGTTTGTTGTACAGTGGGTCCCTCTGACTTCACTGTGAATGAGAGGGATAAAGACCAGAGCATCTAGAGTTAATTCTACTCAACCAGGCTACCTTCGTCGGTTCTCAGTATACTCCCGAATTTGGTCCCGAGAGCACGTTCTGGTCCGCCTGAGTACAGAGTACGTGCCCACGAGTGCTCAAAGCAACCCGATCCTTCTGCCAGTACTAAAAGTAAGTCCTTTCCTCGTTACGGATCAGAGGATCAAAATGACATAAGCAGATCAAAGTACCTCCGTTAAATACCGGACACGCTGTTGGTTGGCCATGCCTCATACTTCTTCGTCTTGACCATCAGCAATTCGTACTCAATACGATCCAGCTCGACACGATATCAACATTGCTCGTAATTTTTTGTCTGTTCTCTTCGCGTTTGTATCTGCCCATTACTAGTCTTCGAGGCTACTTCCCTCGCCTCGGAGAACTTCCTCCGGGCATACAGCGATCTCATTCTCGTCTCTTTTTTCCACGACTACCTCAGTTCGTATGGAGGAAGTTGATATGACCGGAGATGATGTACATACCCTGACACTCTTGAATTTGATTAGCATTATTTGTGACCACAATGGACTGCTCGTTATGATCATCACTCGAGTTGAAGATGTCTGCGTACCGAAAGTTAAGAACGAAACGTGAGGCAGCTCATGCAGCGTGAAGGCATGCAACTTCTTAGCATGCAGAGGACGAGAACTCCCGTCATATATCCAGACCCAGGACTCTAAACACATCATGTCGCAGCGGATGCCTTGCCGAAGTACTCCCACTGCCCTGGCTCTGGCTTTTCCTCCAAAGGTTCCCAACTAGATCATACTACGTCAGCAACAGCTCAGTTGGATGAGAGCGAGACATACGCCTTCCACTCGGCCATCTTGCCAACCAGACTCAATTCGTCCTTCGCAATCATGAGGGACTCCTCGATATGGCCCTCGTCAAGCTGCTTCTCTACCGCCTCGATATTTCCATCAGCGCTCTGCACAATCTTCAGCTTGCGGAGGGTGAGGGCCTCTGCACCCTGACGGTAAACTGAGGTTTGTGGGATGCTTGAAAGCGCAGTGAGAGTGGCTTCGTAGGTGCGGGAGAGCTCTGGGAGGGGGTTTTTGTGTACAGGAATGCCATGGATGCCCGTCGTGAGCTTGGTGACTTGTTGGAATAGAGGACGAGTAAGACGGAACATGGTGGACGGGTGGTGAGTCGGGCGCGAGCGCGACGCGGTTGAAGGGACGACGGATTTGGTAAGTCGGAGTTTTGACGCGCTTGTCCTCCGAGTTGCCAGCTTCACCGTCACGCTCCCCGTCCCTACCATGGCCGCTCTCGTCCTCAACCAGTCCCGCTTCCTCCTCCCCAACTGGCGGGCAGCTTTCTTCTCTGTCGCGGCTGCCGTGCCAGCTTTCAACTGGACCGCGCCGTCGATCCATTCGCTACTTGAACTTCTGCCTCCATTCCTTCTTGCCGTCCCCAAAAAGAAAGTCTCGCACTCCCGCAAGGCCATGCGCAGCGCGAACAAGGGACTCAAAGACAAGCAGAGTGCGTCTTCTATATTCTCTGGCAATTGGTCACACTGATGCTTGCGTTAGATCTCGTTCACTGCCCTGGATGCGGCTCCGTCAAGCTTGCTCACCATCTCTGCCCAACCTGCTACTCAGCCGTGAACCGTGCATGGAAATCGAAGGCAAAGGCGGAAGGTAGTGGGCCTTATGCAGGACCGGCCTCATGATCCGGCGTGGGCTTAGACTTTAGGTATGTGTGCTTAAGCGACTTCTAGGTTCGTATTCTGACGCACGTTTAGTGACAAGTATTTTATCTTTGGAGTTAATAATGACTGCCCATGGCTCGGATGAAAGACGTCGCGAGTAGTGAGCCTGTAATGCCCTGCATACGGACGGATCCCCTCTGTTCAGCCATGTCTAAGAATTTACATAATTTCGGTCATGCGGCGGTTGATCGCGGTTGGTGCTGGGGAATTCGTTGCCCTTTGCAGCAGCCGGCTCAAATCAGCAGCAGCGTCTGCTTCAACCTTCGCCTATATTTAAGGGATCATTGTGCTCCTTCGTTCCCCGCATTCCCATTCCCCCATGTTCCTCCGCCCAACATCCTCTAGAATTCCGGCGCGCTTGGGCAGAGCTGCTTCCACTGCTGTCCGCGGTCGCGCTGCCATTCTGCAGAAGAACCCTGATGATGTTGTTATTACTTACGCGAAACGTACAGCTATGGGCCGCGCGAAGAAAGGACAGTTGAAAGATGTCCCTGTGGATGAACTTCTCCATTCCCTGTTCAGAGTATGAGCATAGTCAAATCGTCACGTGGCATGCGAGACCCTTACTTCCCAACCAGGCATCCTTGCAAGACTCAAAACTCAACCCGGCACACATCGAGGATATTACTGTCGGTAAGACAGTGTGGACGTAGTGATGATACTATCCGTCTCGTTGATGAAGCTTTCTAGGTACCTGTCATCCGCCTTCTCCCCTCTACATCTCGCGCTCTGCTGCTCTTGCTTCTGGGATCCCCGACTATGTCCCAATATCCACCGTCAACAGGCTTTGTTCCTCCGGGCTCATGGCTATCAGGAATATTGCCCATGACATCCAGTCTGGTGAGATTTCTCTTGGCCTTGCCGTTGGTGTGGAGAGCATGTCCATGAAGTACATTCACGCTGCTTGTTCTTCCTATTGATATTCTAAGCTGCCTTCATAGCCCTCGGCCTACGCCTGTCATCACCGATGGCGTAGCGGAGAATGCTCAGGCGCAGGACTGTATTCAGGTGATTTGTGTGCATTTCATCTGCATGCAACATCTCACCGCCTACGCAGCCAATGGGTTGGACATCTGAAATGGTTGCCGAGACCTACAATATTTCGCGTCGAAAACAAGATGAATATGCGTACATCTCGCACAGTCGGGCTACCAAGGTATCGACACTGTGCATCATGTCATCTTCGTAATTGACTGAACGTACGTAGGCGGCTGCAAACGGTGTCTTTGCCGAGGAAATCCTTCCAATTGAATTGCGAGGAGCTGTGATTTCTGCAGACGATACTATTCGGTCGAATGTGACGCTGGAAGGTCTTGCAGCGTTGAAGCCCGTATTTCCAGACTGGGGCACAGCTTCTACTACCGCCGGTAACGCTAGCGGTGTTGGCGATGGTGCTGCACTGTGTATCATGACCACCCGTGAACGAGCGGAAAAGGAGGGCATGCAGATTCTGGGGAAGTGGGTTGGTAGTGCTGTCGCAGGTAAACCTAGATGTGCTTTACCTTCGAATATCCTACTGAGCATACGCAGGTGTTGAGCCTCGTCTTATGGGGATCGGACCCATTGTAGCTATACCCAAGGTACTGAGCCAACTAGGGCTAACGAAAGAAGACATCGATCTTTACGAGGTAGAGTCCGAACTTTCATTTGGGCAATATGGTATTGACGGAGAATCTTGGTCAGATCAACGAAGCCTTTGCATCACAGTTTGCTTATTGCGTCGAGCATCTTGGCATTTCAATGGACAAGATCAACCCCAAGTACGTATTTTCTCGTGAGGTTTTGAAAATTCTCTCATCATTTGTTTCAACAATGCAGTGGAAGCTCTATTTCCTTGACGCACCCCCTTGGCATGAGTGCGTATCTCTCACTGTCTGCGTCGAAGTCGTGGAGCACTAACATCCTGACGATTTCGTAGCTGGCGTTCGTCAAGTGGTGACTGGCTTGGCCGAGCTGCGTCGCCGCAACGGCGAAATCTTGTGCACGAGTATGTGCATCGGAAGCGGAATGGGTGCTGCAGGGATTTTCGTTAACGAAGCACGCTCCTAATGCTTTATCCTACCATTCCATTCCGTAGTGTTACAAAGGTTGTATGCCAGTTGGTCCTCCTTAGGGATCATAGCCATGTACTTCTTCCCATCCTTATCACCGTCGCCACCGCATTCAACCACGAAGCGAGCCAGAAACTATCTCTGTCATCCGAATGACAGCTTCCTCTTCCAATGTACGACCAACTAGCTGAAGGGAAACAGGTGCATTCTTATACGTCTCGGGGGTGTCGTCTAGACGCATAATGCTCAGCAACAGCAGGCAGCAGAAGGCTAAGAGAGACACATACATAGCTTGTAGATCGCCTCATCCTTCTCGGACAGGAACTCGTCACGCGGCTGAGGCTGGTCGAGTGAGAGGTCGACCTTTGTTACCGGGAAAGTGCAGGCGCTGTAGTCGTATGAGTTCCAAATCATGGTATATTCCGCGCCCCTAATGACTTGGTTAGACGACGCAAATGTATTGGAGCCCCGCACTTGATACTCACTGGTTCTTTCCGTGGGG